ATCTCTATCTATCTTAATATCTATTAATATCTATCTAACTTTATTAATATCTATCTATCTATCTATCTATCTATCTATCTATATTAATATCTATTAATATCTATCTCACTTTATTAATATCTATCTATCTATCTATCTATCTATCTATCTATCTATCTATCTATCTTAATATCTATTAATATCTATCTAACTTTAATATCTAATCTATCTATCTATCTATCTATCTATCTATCTATATTAATATCTATTAATATCTATCTCACTTTATTAATATCTATCTATCTATCTATCTATCTATCTATCTATCTATCTATCTTAATATCTATTAATATCTATCTCACTTTATTAATATCTATCTATCTATCTATCTATCTATCTATCTATCTATCTATCTATCTTAATATCTATTAACATCTATCTCACTTTATTAATATCTATCTATCTATCTTCATCTATCTATCTATCTATCTATCTTAATATCTATTAATATCTATCTAACTTTTATTAATATCTATCTATCTATCATCTATCTATCTATCTATCTATCTATCTATTCATCTATCTATCTATATTAATATCTATTAATATCTATCTCCTTTATTAATATCTATCTATCTATCTATCTATCTATCTATCTATCTATCTATCTATCTTAATATCTATTAATATCTATCTCACTTTATTAATATCTATCTATCTATCTATCTATCTATCTATCTATCTATCTATCTATCAAGCCAATTCGTACATATCTATCTATCTTCATAGCACAAATAAAGTTAAATGAAAGAATTTAATACTAATCTATTCAATTGTTTTGGCTTTTGAAAGTTTCGCTTTAAATGTCTTTAATAATATTTTCAATAGGGAATTTAGCAAAATTTTAATTTAATGAATATATGAATCTGCCTCAAAAGAATATGTGTTTTATTCAGAGAATTTATTGATTTGTAAATCAACCAACCCCGTTTGTCCATATGAAGAGACGGAAATCCCTCTCCCACGAATATACAAATAACAAGCAATTTTCTTTAGAGATAGGATGTTCCCCAACTAGGGTCCATAGTAGTCATCCATTCTCCTCATAATAGAAAAAGTCGACTGTTGTTTTTCTTCTCCCCCACCATTTTATCGAAAATAGGTTTGAAGACGGGATAATTATATTTACTCGAACACATACATATACACTACACATACATTGCACAAATACATACATGCATACATATATACATAATACGTACATGCATACATATATATATACATAAATTTGAACAGGTTTTTATTGAAGACTACAAAGTTTTTTTTTTTTTGATATTTTGTTTTTTTGCCAATTTTTACCTTACCTTTGTACAAGATAACGAATGTTTGATTCCAGTTTAAGCAATAATTTTTCGGACGTATATTTCAATTAACTTTAGTAATTTTCAATAACACGAATATTAACAAAATATTAAAAAAGAAAATAAATAAGAAAATTATTATTATAATCATTGTTATAAGTTTTGCTTTTCAAGCCAGAATACTCAACTTGGTTTTTCTAACGATAATTCCTTACCCGTCTACAAAACCGCCAGAAACAATAAAATCAGTAAAAAAAACTAAAAAAAAAACAAAAACGTTTAAATGAATTGCGATATTGTCGTTCTGAAAATCAATGAAACATAAACTACGTCACAAGTCCCGTAGCCTCTCCGGGTCGTAGGAGCACCATACGTACTGCAGCCACAGTAGCAGTTGTATGTCTAGAGCAAGAAAACCTGATGGAACACATTCCTCTTTAGAGTCTTCCTTCTCCCAGACTGGTTGCCACCTAAAGATCCCTATATATCCTGCTATTTAACTTGTAGCTGGAAGAGGATAGAAACAGAACAGAATTATCCGGCATTTGAACTTGGCTCGCCAATTTTTCTTTTCACACATTCTATGTAGAGATACCTGTATAATTGTTGTATTAAAAAGATCTATTAAATATATTCATCAGTTATTAAACATGTAGGCTTAATCACCATAATGTTGTAAGTAGTTTTAAAATGCCGTCATCAACACGGAGAGAATGATTTAGATTTGTTTGAAATAAAATTACATGTTAAAAGTAGGTACCTCCAAAGATTCACTAAAGCTGAGCATATATAATAAAAGATGGCCTAGCCTAATAAAAACAAAGTTTTATCGTCAAAATCTTTGTGTTATTATTAAGAGGAAAGACCAAAGCATCTTTATACTATATTTTTTAATCCTTTTTAGAATCTTTGAAATTTTGGTATTTTTTTTTTGTGTTAACGTGTGACCATAAATTAATATGGAAAATTTGAGTGACTTTTTGATGGGGAAAATCACATTTTGATTTGAAAATTCTTGCAAAAATCAGATAATTGCCGGATTTTAATGAAACTTTCACGACTTATAAATTAATGTATGTTTCAAAGGTTTTCTTTCTTAGAAAATCTTGTTAAATATATATATATTTATATCTGCTTATATATATATATATATATATATATATATAATTATTAAGAAAACGAAGTCATGGTGATAAAAAAAGTCATGGTGATATGTCATTACACACACACACATATATATATATAATGGATAAAGTAATAAATTTAATCCCTCTTCCGGTTGTTAAGTTATTATTAGAAGATTATCTTAGGAGCCGGACTCGATCTTTTCAGGAGCTAATATAACTAGATACCGCCCATAACACACTAAAAAAATGAGTATACATCATAAAAAAGGGCCAAAGACCTAGAACTTAATAAAAACAAAAAATTATCGTCAAAATGCTTAAGTTATTATTAAGAGGAAAGACCAAAGGATGTTTTGATTATTAAATTATATTTTTTGATTCTTTTTAGAAGCTTCAAAATTTTGATTAAATTTTCATTTTACATCAGCGGGTGACAATAAATTAATATTGAAATTTGAACTTCTCCTTGCGATGTAAAACACATCGATTTGGAAATTCTTGCAAAAATCAAATAACTGTCGGATTTTAATGAAAATTTCACGACTTATAAATTAATGTATGTTTCAAAGGTTTTCTTTCTTAGAAAATCTTGGTAAACATATATATTTTTATATCTGCTAATATATATATATATATATATATATATATATATATATATATATATATATATATATATATATATATATATATATATATATATTTGTTTAATTTATGAAATTCATTTTTATAGAGTTTAATATTTATATTAGTTATAAACAGAAGTATTTAGAGAATTTAAATAATCAATTTTTTTTGGCAAACAAGACGTCCTGTTCCAGAAAATCAGCATTAAATCGTAAAATAAAAAATGCAATAAATCTAAGACAATATTTTAATTAGAAAATCTTTTAATTGTTTTTACAAATGACATATATTTTGGATACTACTGTCCAAAATATTATTATTATAATTATAATTATTTTCGATGATTAATGAATATTTACAAGTATTGTATTCATTTTTATTTTTTTTTAATTATAATGATTTATAAAGTTGTAAATCTTTTAAAATTCTTTATTAATTTGTAGATTTTAGGTGATGTTGTTATTAAATAAAAGCTGTATTTAATAATTATAAATGGTAAAAATTACTAAAATTCAACTACCTACAGTATTTTAAAAAGAATTTTGAATTTTTTGTATCTATATAAACGTGCCGATTTTTGTAAATACGGTCGTCTATACACGATATTATCAGTAACTAAGAGTGTTAACTATAGTAAATATAAAATTTATTTGTAAGTTTCTAACATTTCCTCAACAAGTGTTTTCTTAAGTAAGCGAAAGTAACTAAAGTTCAATAAAATATTAAGTTACTTAGAATATTTTCCTAATTTTTTAAGATTACTGGATAGTTAAAAAAATATATAAAAAAGGCGTTAACATTGTATTCGTCAAGTAATTTTTGCAGTTATGTACCCTTTACTATCGATTAATGTGTGAAAACCTCATAAAACACCTACCTCCATGTTATAAAAACGCTATTCTTTGATATTTTGAACGTAAAGTAAGCAATATTTGTTTTAATTTAGATTAAGTAAACTTTAAATCAGGTAATCTTCCTCAAATAAAGTTTCAGAAAATATATATTTTATTTTTGAAATATTTTTTAATAAAGCGAATTATGTTCTATTGACAGATTTGTCAATATGGCTGATTTTGCCGATTAAAAAAAATAATACCAATCAATTTAAATTCGGTTTAAAATACTGTAAAATATTTTGCTGATTAGAAATATTAAATTTCATCTAATAGCTTGTAATGAAAACTAAACTAAAAGCTTCAAGAAAGATTTTTCATTTTAAAAATGCATTTTAAACCATAAGTATCGCTTTTGTGTGGGGTATCTAGTTAAATGACATAATAGAAATACATCAGTTTTTTCTGATAACTATGAAGTCATGAAATCGCAATTCGTGTACTTAAGAATGATTGCAGGTACTAGAACGTATTTGTGTGCTTTACGAAATCAAAATATCCGCTACCTTAAATAAAAACAAGAGAAAATTACTAAAAAACTATTTCAAACACACCTTGTCTGTGATCTTCAATAAAACTTTACTAAATTAAAAATTGCTGTCAAAACGCGCATACACATGGTGAACGCCATTAATCTGTATATATGCATTTTTTAATGCTAAGTCATTTCAATACATAGTCGATCACGGCTCTCCACAGATTCCTTTTCTTTAGTATCTGTGAATTGCCATGCATTCTTGGGAAAGATAGTGGGGTAGTGGGTGAAGGGTCGTTTCGTTGTCGTCTCCACGGTTTTGAATTCAGAGTTTTTCTTCTCTTAGTCTGGTTGCCACCTAAGGCTAGAGAACCTAGTCTACACTGCTATTTAATTCACAACACCGAGAAAAGAGTTGAGTTAAGATCTTTCCTAACGGCATTAGTGCGAAAGTGGCTGAAGCAGAATCGGGTGTAATTTGAACTCGTCCAGCCGATTCCAATTCGAAGCCATTATTTGTTACACCACTCGCACATCCAAGCCTACAATACGTGCTATTCCCAAGCGGTCACCCATCTCGGTACTGACCAGACTCAACGTTGCTTTACTTCGGGGATCTCGTGAGAACCGGTGTTTCAACACGAACATATGGGAACCAGAAACACATAGTGAACGTTTGTATCTTTGTGCTTGTAAAAGTGTGAGAATAAATCAATATATATATATATATATATATATATATATATATATATATATATATATATATATATATATATATATATATATATATATATATATATATATATATATTATCTTTTCATATTTGAATAAATATACTGTTTAATAAATAAATAAAAACTGAGCATCTACTCAAATATGAGTACCCATTAAAAATAACGTTTAAAGAAATAAATGAAATATTGCGTCTAGCATGAAACAGCCTGTCGCCTCTGAGTGTTGACTTCAATGTTCGCTTTTATATATATATATATATATATATATATATATATATATATATATATATATATATATATATACTTTTGCAACCAGACCCCCACGTGTGCCTGCAGATGATGCACAGTTTTAAATGCATTAATACCATCTTTGGATATTTGGAACCTTCAGACTCACTCCAAGTCCAGAGTATAATTTTTATGTCAAAAGTTGTGAAGTGTCCTCTGACACTAGTAACATAATGATTTCTAACAGTAGATATATATAAAACACTACGTATTCTAACTAACGAAATTAGAAATTCATTTTTCAACCCAGCGTCATCATAATTATTACCTATAAATTTATTAAATATAAAAATAATTCTCATTAAATTAAAAATAATTCCCATTAAATTAAAAAATAATTCCCATTAAATTAAAAATAATTACAACAGCACCGAACTTTAAGATTACATGAAATTTAATGCAAATGTATAAATATTAATGTTTTTATCATTTTAAACGTCATTTTTAATGGATTCCAATATTTATTGGTTTAAGCAGAATTTTATTTAGTCTACTGGCATGAATATTGGAAAAATTTTAGTAAAGAAAAAAAAAATGCACCCTCCAGCAAGATTCGAACCTGAGTATTTATTTATTATTCTTTGCTCACATTTCCTATATGAAACTGAGCAGTTATGAACTTTCGGGAATCTAAACGATAAAGACGTGCTTAAAGGCCGTGATTAACCGCAGCCATATTCGGAGCCGTGTCGCTTAAAGCGAGTCGGATCTAAAGATGGCTTCTCCTATAAAATTGGGACGCAGGTTTGATTTCCGCTGTATGGCGTATTTTTCTTTAATAAGATTTCTTGAATACTCAGGTCGTTAGACGAAATCAAATAAACAGAGCGTCTACTGAAATATGAGTATCCACTAAAAATAACGTTTAAAGCGATATGAATATGTCGGATTAATATATAAAAAAATCGTTATTTTTATTATTTTTTTTTTTTAGAAATATACTAATATTATTAATGACATAAACCCAGTCAATAAAATATAAATTAATTATTTATACGAGAGGGTGATGAAAAGTTATTGTCTTGACTAAGAAACCCTTCGGAAAATAAATCTGATGTTTAATCATTTACTAAGATTTTGGGGAAGTGTGTAGGGCCTCAAACCTTTCACCACTACCAGCGTATGAATAATGTATAATGAAATCACGAAAAAAGTATTATAAATGGATATATTTAAGTAAATATCAATCTTCATTTCTTCACATCTGTCTATCTCAATTCATTCATATCTATCTATCTATCTATCTATCTATCTATCTCAGTTAATACATATCGATCTGTCTAGTTTCGTGTGTACATACTGGTCTAAGTCTGATTACATCTTTTTCTAGTGGGTATCTTCAGCATTTTTTAAAGGAATGAGAGTGAGAGAGCAAAAGATATATATATATATATATATATATATATATATATACAGAGAGAGAGGGGGGAGGGAGAAAGAGAGTGAGAAAGAAAGAGAGAACAGATCAGAAGGAGTTGTTATTCAATATTTCACGTTCCAATTCAATGACTGATTTTGGAAAGCATCGGCTGTTTTTATATTTAATTTGAATTTTGGGGATTTTTAATCCTTTTTTTTTTCAAACTTATGTTCCCGTCTACAACTAGCCAGGAATTTGAAATGGGTGTTTAAACCTCTCAGCCTTCAGATGATTCAATACCCCACTTGAACGTAGCCAACATAAAGGAAACGTTCGTGCTACTTGATATCTACAAAAATTGGGCCTGTGTCCGCATATCAACTTTTACTTTTTTTAACACGAAAGGTTCAGAAAAAGAATGACAGTTCAGAAGTGTGATGCTCCATAACAACACCCGGTTTTGTGAGGTTCATGCATAAAGAGAGGATAAATTGTAGACGGAAAGAAGGATACTTATAAAATCTGCGATAGCCCAAGTCGTGTAAATTCACACACACACACACACACACACACACACACACACACACACACACACACACACACACACACGTTAACATGAACGTGAAAGAGAGAGAGAGAGAGAGAAGAGGAAGTTTCGCCCTTGTACAATCGTTAGACACATAATCTGATGTTGAGCAATGAGTTCCATCCTCACTGGGTGGTCCAAACTAGTGGCTTTATATTAAACCAAAAGCAAGCTATGCTTAAAATTATTTATACAGTGCTGGGCAAAAGTAAGTGAACCCCTAAGATGATATTTAAAATAATTCTCTTTTTTGCCAGATAATCAATAAATCTTATATATTCGTTAAGAAAAAAAACATTATTAAATGAATTGCAACCACTTTCAAAGATTTTTATCAAGCTGGAATAAAAATATTAATTAAAAATTAAGATTTGCAAAAGTAAGCGAAAACTTACATTTACACTCTGTACTTTTGTTTTACATGGTTGCTAGTGCAAATATTTTTTTATGCACATGTAAAAATCAAAATGACACATGTTCAGTTTTTGGTATGCTGTGTATACTGCAATGAAACAATATAACTAATTGTGTATGCAAAAATGTGCAGTTAGAGACTAAATTTTAAAAAATATATATGCAAAGTTCAAAAGCATTTCCAGAATCTTTTAAAAATCGCATAGTTGAAAACTATAATAATGGAGAAGGTTACAAAAAGCTATCAAAACAATTTGGGGTGCACTTCTCCACTGTGCAACAAATTATTTATAAATGGAAGGCCTTTGGTATGGCGGCGTCAAAGTCAAGAAATCCCCGTCCGTGAAAAATAACAGCAAGAGCAAGTAGACATCTAATTCGGCAAGGCCAGGTAAATCCTGATGTGATCTTTGCGGTTCTGCGATGCTCACTGGCCAATGTCGGAATCAATGTGCATACATCTGCAGTGTGACGAAATCTGGACAATGCCGATCTTCATGGCAGAATACCTAAAAAGAAATCCACTGCTTATGAAATAGCACAAGCATACTCGTCTCAACTCTGCCAAATCTCATATTAATAAGCTAGAAACATTCTGGCAAAAAGGTTTATGATCGGATGAGACCAAACTAAATGTTTTTTGGGAGGAATAATAGTTGGTATATCTGGCGAGCTCCTAATAGGGCGTTTGAAAAAGACAAATTTAATACCAACCATTAAACATGGTGGTGAGAGCATTGTGACTTGGGAGTGCTTTGCTGCAGCTGGAACAGGCAAAATAGTACGCATTGACAGCACAATGGATTCTGCAAGATACCAAGCAATTTTGAACGAACGTGTCTTGTCCTCAGGTAAAAAGTTTAGGTTGGGGCTAGAACTTCCAACAGGACAATGATCAGAAGCATCAAAGCAAATCCAGAAAAGAATGGGTTCATAAAAAATAAATTCTTGGAACGGCGTAGTCAAAGTACTGATCTAAACCCAAATGAAAATCCGTGACTCAAGTGGAAGGGAAGAAGGCAGTGCATTCAAGAAACACAGGTAAAATCGAGCAATTGTGAGAAACATAGTAAACATAGTATAAAATCTGCACTCACAGCTGCCAGAAACTTCTTAAAATTATAGAAAAAAGACTGGTTGACATTGTAACCTCAAAAAGAAGCAGACACCAAATATTAAATGTTTCACTTAATTTTTCATTTTGAATTAATGATTTTATTCCAGCTTGAAAAAATTCGTTGCAAGTAGTTGTAATTCATTTAATAAAATTTTTTCTTAATGAATATATAGTAAAATTAAATTTTTTTGATCATTTGAAAAAAAAAAAAGAGACATTTTAAAAAAAAATATTATTTTAGGTGTTCACTTGATTTTGCACAGCTAGTTCTTCTTTTTTTCATTTTAATTATCATCATGAGTGATAGTATTAAAAACAAAATTAAATTTGTCTGTTTTTGGCGGACATATATATATATATATATATATATATATATATATATATATATATACACTGTATATGTGATGTCTCTGTATTTATTGATTTATGTTCTCTCCACCTGTTCTCTCTATCTGTCTCTGTCTGTCTGTTGTCTGTCTCTGTCTGTCTGTTGTCTGTCTCTGTCTCTGTCTCTTTATATATATATATATATATATATATATATAAGAAAGAGGTTATAGTGGTTCCAACGAGAAGACGGTCGCGAGACCAGAAACACGTGTAGTAAAGTTATGGAAAATAAGGCAAAATATTTTTTTAAAAAAAACATCCACATTGCAACCAAAAACGTTTGCGGTACCTCTCTTCTTTTAATATATATATATATATATATGTATATATATATATAGCGAGAGACACACACACACACACACACACAGAGAGAGAGAGAGAGAGAGAGAGAGAGAGAGAGAGAGAGAGATGGCAACTGGTCTACTGCAGAAAGAAATGGCCACCTACTGCGGGAAAAAAAGCTAATCGCCTAACCGTGTATCACGCCTGACACATAACATGACCACTAATAATATATATATATATATATATATATAAGTTAAAAAGAAACGACAATGTCTCGTTGTTTCATTTTTTATTGTATTTTTTCAGTTTTTTAATAACGTGTTGCATGAACTGTCGAAGTAGATCTAGTAAGTATATAGATAAATATAAGTATATTTAACTGTCTTACATTTTTCTTTAGGGAAGTTGTATTCCATATTTTACGTTTTTTTTTTTATAAATAATTGAGATTAATGTTTAAATGATGA